AGCTGGAATTGAACATAACCGGCACAAATCCGCATTTTGCTGCCCAGCGTTGTACTCAATGACCTGCAGCCATTTTCCTTTCATCTGTCTGATTCCCCTGCCATCTGGCTGGTGCTATAGTTGTTTCTCTCCATCAATCCCCCTTTAATGACTTTGATTACTGAGCAATTTCGGACTGAATAAGATAGCTGAGTTATGGGCTTGTCACACCACGAATGATCAGTCAATTAACAAACATTTGCAATGTGCGAGACACTGCACACTTGAAACTCTCCTGTGGCAGCCACCTGGGACTGCGGAATGGAGTGCCTGACTCCTCCAGTCCTTACAACAGGGAGACATAGGTCACAGCCAACGAAAGAGTTGCCCCTTCATCCCTGTGTGGCTCTGAGTATAACTGTTTTTTGTTTTTGTTTTTGGTACAAGGGATTGAACCCGGGGAATGCTGAGCTCATCCCTTTTTAATTCTCTTTTATTTTGAGACAGGGTCTGACTCAAAGTTGCCTAGCTAGGCTAGCTTCCTACTTGAAGTCTCCAGGCCTCAGCCTCCTGAGAAGCTGGAATTACAGGCATGTACCTCTGTGCCTCCTGATAACTGTGTTTTCATGGGTGGGAATACCTTGCCAGGATTCATGAGAGTCCAGGAGACCTGTAGGTTTAGGGTCTCACAGGAGAAGCATTCTCTGAAATGTTATCCTGCTGTTACTAAGCTAATATTTTTGGAAATAATAAATCAGAACTTCAATATCTTTTAGAGTAATGACTAGTATTTCCAGGATGAGAACACATCATCTCTCAACTCTCTTATAGGTGACAAATGTTAGAAGCCTTCCATTTCTGATATAGGATGATTATTTCCTTCTTTAAGGAGTCTTGAGAGATGATAAATAAGGGTGGAGAAGCCACAACTTTGCAGGCATAGGTCCTAATTTTCTATGAAATTATGCATGCACTCTCTCTAGAAAGTAATTGGAGATGAGGTTGCCAGCAATGATTTCTTTCCCAAATAGGTACTGCCTGAACTACCTCAGAGAACTATGCTTAAGGAAGTTAAGCAGAGAGGCCGGTTAATACCTAAGAGGCTGGTTAATAACTAAGAGCTGACTTTAAGGTTATGATGGCAAGCAATTTGGCCATGTATCTCCACAGAACAGAGGTAGAAAGAAATAATACCAGCTGCATTGAGCTTTCCTCCTTCCTCTCCTGTAATGGTTTAA